TATAAGTATTGTGTGTAAATATGTATGCAAATTTGGAAGAAGCATAGGAAAAAGAAGAATAGGAAAGAGCGGCTGAAATATTTACCAAAGATAAACAATAGTAATCATTTAGTCATTATTGCATCACATTTTTGTGAAAAGGTTTTTGTCAAGGTTCCGGCAGCCTACATGTATCTCTGAGATTAACAATGGGATGTCAAAGCTGTAATTGCTTAAACACGTTCAGTGATTTAACTTATATCATTAAATTTATTTCAATCGTTAAACAATATATGAGTATTATATCTAATTGTTCCAACATTGCATTTCTTAAAATAGAGAAAGTTTCAACCTCTAAAACGTTCAAAAGTACATCTAAACAATTGTCAAGAGATCGTGACGTGAAACATAGTGTTGGATCAGGTCATGGTGAGTTTAAATAATTTAGTTAAAGAATTGTTTTCTTTACATTTATAAAAATTGTAAGATGTAGAAGAAGGGCATTCTAGAAAAAAAAAATAATGCTGTTAAAATTAAAAGATTAACGGCTAAGCAAGTTTGCCATTTTCGGCCAGAACACAAATTTAATATAAATGGAATGAGGGACGTATCATATTTAATTGCTTTTGTCTCCTCCAAAGTCATGCCGCTTAGTTTTATACAATTCTGTTGTCTTTCTTCTGAATTCGTGAATATTTTTGTTATGGTGGTTGTGTTTTTTTTTAAAGTACTTGGAGCTTTTGGTCAAAAAACCCCACCGTTACTTAAGCATATTCAGAATATATTGCAAAGTTACACGGACGGACAGATCTTAAAGGTAAGAACACTCTAAATATATTTCGATACCTGTTATCAATAACACGCTTAGATAAATAGTTCATTGAAAGAAACGATTGGTTTCTAACTTATAACTTAGAGAAAATGTCCTATTTATAGACAAAAATTATAATATGGCCGTATGTTAACAAAAATTAGCAAACTTTTATGAATTAATCATATTTATCCTGATAGAACATATTTTGCTCATGCGCTATTTCCAAGACAAGACCTAGCTTTGAGGCCTTGTATGCAGGCCTTGTATTTGATATCAATGCAAAAATAACACAAGAAATTGACTTGACTCAGTAGATTTTGAATTGTAATACACTAGCCGACATTTACTGTCAGGAATACATAAATATCAGACAGAAAAAATGTGGAAGAATTTAGTATAGGGATATGTTCAAAAGTGGAGTAGGAAAAACTCCACTGTGTAAGAGAAGACTTCACTTGATGCTGATACGAATAATAATTTAGATACAAAATTACATGATTTATATGATTCCAAAACTGTGGTGCGTACCACATGAATGATCAGAGAAAACTGTTACAGGGCAAACATTTTTAACTATTTTTGTATGTCCTTTTATAGGCCCAAAGATATCAATGTTGTTGCTTTAAACGTACGACATCTAGCTAAATATATGACGTTATTCTCAGCATTTTTTTTGCAACAAGAATACATGGCAATTTCAAAATTTTATTCATTCACAACGCATAGGTTATCTCATCATAAGACCCTCATGCATTTTCTGATTATAAACTCGAATAGATATCCATATGTAAAATTTAGGGTCCGTCCGCACAGGATTCTTTTTTACAAGAGGCAGACTGTAAAAAATCGGAAAAGGAATATTTAAAAAACTATAAATAAAACCTGCCGACTCTGATTTTCCCAATAGATTTGGCTTGGGCAATACTATTTGTTTTTTGGCCTATGATATTGCATGACGGATGACATCTATGATGGATGAATCATTGCGTTAAAACCGTCTATCGCAGAGCAGGCGCCAGTGGACCGCTTTATGTGCGTAGTTTGGGAAGTAATAGCTTCACAGCATCGAGCGATCTTAGCTTACACAGTGGAATTTAATCAACTTTAATTGAACAACTATTTAGTATTTTGTATTTGCAGAACTACTGTAAATGTAATGTATTAAATTTCAGAATCTACTGAGTTAAATCTATCGCTTGTTTTATTTTTGCATTGGTTCAAATACAAGGCCCATGGGGCTGAAAACTAGGTCCCATTGCGACATACAGAGCAGATGATCACAGGTAGGCTGACAGACACTTGCAAACAGTGCATGCGCAAATGTTCTATAAGAAAGATTATGAAGAATTTATGAGATTTTGCTATACCAGCCTACAAAAAAAAAATTGCATGTCGACTGCTATTATTTCGCAATTTGGCAAACACCAGCGACTTGGTATACGCATTCTTCAGAGGGTGACATTATCATTCATTAACACTGACATAGTCCATAGTACAATTAGTATATTATAACAAGAAATATCCATGTATTTAGGACAAGGGGTGGATTTAGAGAGACTTTAATCAGGCTTCTGTCCAACATTTCTTAACAACATGCATGTTATGTGTCTTTTTATGATGGTGAAAGAATAGCCTATAGTGTGTTGACCTAAATTGAAACTTTTATCTAATAATCTTAGTGTTATTAACCGCTCTCGTGTCATACATAACCATACTCTCATGTTGGGCTTCTTGAGGATATTTCCCGTACGATCAAAATCGTAACGGTACTGGGTTTGGTCTACAGGAGCTCGTGTTTCGTACAGGTCATTCCATTCATAGAAAAAGCCTTTAATGGTGAAAGCGTACCTGTCATTAGCCATAGTAGCCTAGGTCAATACATAACACCGGCTGTATAAAATTTATTATACGATTGAAAATGTTAATCTTATTATTGCAGTAGTGATACACATAGTAGCCTAGGTCAATACATAACACCGGCTGTATAAAATTTATTATAAGATTGAAAATGTTAATCTTATTATTGCAGTAGTGATACACTATGCACACGGTTTAGTTATTGTTATTTATTCGTTAAC